CCACTTCTGCAGCCAGTCACAGAGTCGGCTCCCTCCGCTGGGCACCGCCCACGCCAGGCACCTTGCAATGCGGCTGCTAAGCCTGGCTATTTTTAGATCTCGAGAGTACATTGTGCCAGAGCTCAGCTCAAACCACCAAACACACTGATGTGCCTCCCTTTGATCAAAGATGGCTCAGAGCTCCATATTTCCCCGAATAAAGTCGATTATCTTCACTTTTTAAAGTCCTACCCCCTGTGGTCTGACAGTTGACTGCAAAGCAGAAAGCCACAAGCTCCCACCTCAAAGAGGTCATCACCTTTCTAAGAAGTGCACTAACTCTCATGGCCCTGATGAAAGGCAGGCAGATATTCCTTAGCAGCAATCATAACTATATACTTCTCATTTCCATTCACCATCTTTAGAATTAATTCCACAATTAGGTCAAACAATTCCCAAAAGGGAATGAAGATTTCTGAGGGATTTCTGTACGAGGTTAACTTGTGTTAAGATACCAATGAACACAAAAACAAGGTAACAAAGCCGCCCATTAACATGCGGAGACACTGAAGAACTGCCTTCCATGCCCCGTCGCCGTAGACCATGTTTAACTGTGCGAAGTGTTAGTATGAAAACAACCGGCCAGTAGGATAGCTGTCTTTTTACCCAGTAACTGTTTAAAAGACATCTTATCTCACGTTACCCATTTCACCACCTCCCCCCAGCACCCATCCAAATGCAACATATTATAGTGTGTTTTACTTACTCTAATTAAAGAAATGCTAAGTCATAAAAAGACAGAGTGGGAAAAGGGTATCAATACTCTCAAGCCACCACAGCCTTCCAGAGATACAGATAGTTATACTGCCTATATCTCTTTCATAGGTTCTCTAGCCGCATTGGAAAATAAAACTTTTGGCTTCACCTCTCCATTTAAAAAAAAAGTAAAAATCTTAAAATGCTAAACTGGCTTGAACTGTGTATATGTAGTCTACGGATAGGAAGACCATCTGTGAACTTGAAATGTACTCATCTTATGTATTACTTACTATGTAAGTTGTTTCTTACTTTTCATAATAAACTACATAAAATCAAATTAAAATTTCCTATTTTTCCAAATAAGAAAATAATTTTAATTTTAAAAATAAGCACAGAGTACTAGCAGTGGAAATTTAGTGTTTAAGAAGAATTAAAGAAAAGCCACTTTGGGGAAAAATTACTTTGAATGTAAATAATAAATTTATCTCATTACTATGCACATTAATTTTAACTTCACTAGGAGGCTAATACTGGTGAATATATCCATTAACATCATGTAAGGATATTGCAGAAGTTTTCCTATATATCTTTTTTACCTCTCTACAACTTCCATTTTTGTTTATTTGGATTTTTCTGTATGACTGTGTTTTTATCTTAGATCCTTTATAATTCTATTACTGAGTGAATTTTCATTATTATTTTTCTGGTATAACGTAGGACAAGGAAAATAAGTTGGTTATATCTTTATATTTACTTTTACAGGTATCATTTTATCAGCCTATTTCTAAGTATCTCATGAAAAGATTCTAGATGTCAAAACGTGCAGTTAACATTCCTATTTAGAAATACACAAAATAATACCTTTGACGTTGGAACTCAGATATATTATTCAGCAAAACAGCAATTACTCATTGTTTTGCACTTACATGTTAAGAACTATGCGACACTTGGTGACACAATAACAAAATTGCAAAGTCAATTATATTTAAAATAGACATCCTAATAAAACATACACAACCAACTCCTTTTACTCTTTTTGAACTGTTTTGTTTCCTTTTTCTGACTGTTTAGAGTCAAATAGATTCTGTGAATGTTAAACCTAAGCATAATAACTGATACACACACATCATGGGAAAAGTTAGAAAATGGGGAGTGGGTGTACTATAAGGCGAGGTGTATTCCTGAGGGCAGCAGAATCCACCTATGGAGGTGCCAGAATATTTTTGGAAATGTACATGTACGATGTTCTTTTGCAATGTCAATCACACTGGCAAACTTTAAAGCAAAATTTAAGCTAGATTTATATGAAACATTCTAAGCAGCACCAAAGCAACACAGCACAAGTAGAATCTCTTTAGATTTAAGAAAGGAGGATTTAAGATGGGACCAGTTGTTTGTTTTATTCTATTTTAATTGCACAAGAAGCATTTTTGTAACTTGAACTTCCCAGTAATTAATTCCACTTCTCAACTCAGCCTGCAGCCTGAATTGAAGTTCCCATCAGAAAATTAAAATGTTTGTCTGGATAAAATAACTTCTAAATGAACTCTCTATTTCTTTTTGGTTCTTTTTGTATTTCTGCAATGTAGCCCCTCGCAATGATATTAGTTCTAGTGTGGGAAAATATTATAATTGAGATCTGGTAAGTTATTTGCAGACTTCAAGTTTTTCTTTACACTGTGCTGACATTTAGTACAGCCCTGGTGAGGAAAACAATACCACCATTCATAGCTCTAGACGTAGATTTCAATCGACTTAAGCGGGCACAATGAAACTTGGTCATTCACTGGTTACCCATATTGTGTTCTCAAATTTTCTCTCAGCAAAAGTATAATGACTCAGTATTGTATGGTTGCATAGACAAGGGCTCGGAACAAGAGACACTAGTTTTGTCTGACGGTGTGAGAAAGTCGTGAAGGGATCTTTTCTTCCAGATGGTGTTAAATTCAGCTGCCTTTTTAACATTGGCCTTGCACAAGCAATCTGCTGCTCCCCTTTCACAAAGACTGTGCTCGGTTCCCACTAGTTAACATGCATACTCACGCAACCTGCAACTTCACTCCAACTGTTTTACAATGCAGTGGTATGCTAAATAAACTTGATCCAGTTTCTGCCAATGTTAAAACTAGCTTTCAACGAACTACTTAACTGATATTTACACTTCTTTTGACTTAAATGTGCATGCCTTTGGAATATTTCAGATTTCAAAGACATATCACCTTATTATAAGGTCATTGTAGATACTACCTCAGACACCCTTCAGACCTATGCTCAGATACAGTACCTCTCTTAAACACACAGAAATAAAACAAAATGTCAAAAGTTTGATGTGTAATAGAAAAAAGAAAACTTGGGACATGTTGCAGCAAGAGCAGTGAAACAGCAAAAAATAAAATGAAAATAATAACATTGAAATGCATTTTTATTGATCGATAAGTCATGTAACATTAGTATGATACAAAGCAAGTTTGATATGACAATGGCAAACACATAATCATAATATTGTTTATTTTACTTAAATGTTATATTTAACATATTTACATGAAAGACCAAGATGTAGGCAAAAGCTTCAGTAATTTGACTCCATTGAGTGCTTTCAGTAAACAATAGGTTTCCCCAGCAAACATCTTATTGCCTTAATTGAACCTCCTTGAGAAAGAAAACCACACTTTGTAATGTAAATGTTAATTGTAGTAGACAATGGGTCTAGGTAAATAGCACCCCTGGACATGAAGTAAATGAAAGGAATACAGGCACTTAACAATGAAAGGTTGTTTGCACAAACAGTGCTTCAAATGTAAATAAACAAGGGTCTTCTCAACAGTCACCACAGTAATAAAACTTTGGCACGTGTTCCAAAGCCAAATTGAGAATTTACCTTAATAAAGTCTCCCAGAGTTTCTAACTGAAACTATCAATGGTTTTTACAGGCTTCTCCAGTTTGAAGTCTTAAAAGGAGTTGAAGCTACAAAGGCAAGTGGAATGCTTTTGAAGAAATATTGCATAGTTGGGATTGAGGATTGTCAGTAATCTAGGCCACGTGGAAGATAACAGGCCAGTTTGGGCATTTTCTTATTGAATGTTTGTATTTATGTTTAAATGCCTATACAAATGTTTGCTTGGTGACATGTGGGAAAATTGAGGACATTTTTGAAAAATACTACTATAGGGACCTTCAGAGAACCAAAGTTTCTGCTAAGCATAATCACTTTTAGATTAAATAAAAATGGCTGTTTAGGACGTTTCTAGCTGAGACTACACCAGAACAAACTTTTATCATATTGTCAGTGATTAACTTTCTACAGGTTGATGATTTTATAGTTTTCATGCCAATGTGTCTACTAGCATAATTCAGCCAAGTTTCTAGATATATTATACAAGAAGTAAACAATCTGATGAAGTGATGATAATGTCTGATATATATATATATAGAGAGAGAGATTTTCAAATATAACTGACCCAAAGCAAAAGCCCAAAGGTGGTCACAAGACCAAAAGTATGAACTGAGAATTTGACATGAAGGGCAGGCAGCAATGGAGCTTTCTTGGGACTGCTTTCTACAAGCTTTCCTTAAATATTGGAAACCTCAACCAAAGAAGGGACCCAAACTTAATTGTGGCCAGTTTAAACAGTGGTTATAAAATTAACAGAAACAGACAGTATGCAGCAGCAACAGACCAGTTGGTGCTGCCATTTGGGAGGCTGCAGATGGCTGTGGGTGGGAAATGCCTCTACTTTTTTAAGCGATGGAGATGAGTATGGTGTGCACTTGATGTTTTTTTTTTATACCCCTCCCCCCCAACAGGGCTGTCTGTCATAGGCTGCTGGGCCCGCTTTACCACTTGCCCCCCGAGCGTGGGAATCCGAGCGTCCTGCCGTTCACATCTCCTGCGTTCCGTTTAGCCGAATCAATTAGGCAAGACAGACCCTCAGATTCCCCACCCCCTTTCCATTTTTGTCAGGTCTATATACGTCCTAATTATTTCAGTTTGGGATGCCAGAGCTGTTTCCTGGATAGACCTGATCATCCTTAAACAAAAAGAGAGGAGGCGCACACGTGGGTTGTGGCGTAAATGTCACTTTCATTTCCAATGCTAGGCGCAGAGTAAGACAGAACATTTTTTTAACACTTTGACAAGAGGGGAGGCGATCTCGTCTCCATCATGTCTTTCTGCTTCAGTAGCTTCCTCAAGGAAACCCTCTTGGAACAGAGAAGCATCTGTCCTTGTATTTTGAATAGAAGAATAAAAATCAGCCTTTGCTTTTTTTTTTTTTTTTTTTTGCATTTTCCCTACTAGCTCTATATCCTCAGTAGACATAAATCATTAACCTTCCAGTATAAACTTTGCTGAAAGTCCAATTTCATATGATCAGATATAAACCCCAAATACATGTAGTTTCCAAGCATAATCTTAAATTTTTTCAGAGGAGGGGGCCTCAGAAGAGAACAGCCTCAGTCTACATAATATGAAATCGTTTTTTTAACTGGGTACCAGTCACCTCTACAGCAGCTTTCTAAGAAAGGAAAAATAACTCATATTTAAACTTTTGCCTTGAAGTAGGACAAACTGTACATGCCTCTTACCTCATTAGCACTATACAATTCTCCTTATTAACAACCCCTCTCAAAGTACCTGGCACCTTCATATTTTGGCATATGTGTGCCCCTTAATTTCCTCTAATCCCACCTTTACTCATAAGGAAAACAAAAACAAAAACAAAGTTAGATTCAATAAATATTCCTGACCTTTCTGGTTTTTACTGTCTCTTGGTTGTAGTCTTTCATTCTCACACGCTCCCCGGCGATCTTGAAGGAGTTTTTACTTTCGGTTATCTAGCTTTATGAAGACCAATACACTCATACAGCTAGATAACCAAAGATAACAACTCGCTTCCCTCACACGCCTCTGTCTTCCGCTGGCCAGGCTCCACATCCCGGTCTTTCTGGCAGCACCGAAGAGCAGTAGTCCTCCAGGACACTCGCCGCGTTCAGATTCCTCCTTGCATGTAAATATGACCTGGTTTCTGTTTGTGTGTGCGCGGCTAAAACATCCAAACGAGATCTGTTGCTTTGAAAGTTTATTCCGAACTTTTTTCCCCCTTTCAGCAAGTAATCTCCGGCAGCGTCAGCCAACAATTCATCTATTAATATCAGAAAATAAAACCAGCTATTAAGGTGCAGCAAGCGGTTACGAGTGAGCAGCAGCATCCGTCCCTTCGGAGGCCTCTATTTGCATTGTAAATTGCTTCATTCTCACGCAAGACTCCTTAGCCTCCCTCTACAGAGACGTAGGAAGCCAACAGCAATTTCCAGCGCAGGTTAAGGAGGAAGGAGAAAAAAAAATAATAAAAAATAAAAAAACACATCCCATTCTATAGAAGTGACAGCTGATTCAAAGGTCTGCTCCTGATCCTTTTGGGGTAAGCACCATGAGCTTTTTACCAAGCGGTGGCAGCTTGATTGCAATATCTTGTGTGTGTGTGTTTTAGGGGGAAGATCCTCGATTTCTCAGGGCTTCTAGGCTGGGAAAGAGAAGATGCCGTCTTGCTGGCGTGCTGCTGCCCCCGGTCTGAAAGAAGGAGAAAAGGGCCATCATTGGAAGGGCTTTCACTGCCAAAATGTGGACCAGCCCGGCAAGGTCAAAGGTTCGAGACCGCTGGAGACCAAGGTAATGATGATGTCATGAGAAATCTCAAGTACATGGTTATTGATATGCATCAGTGATCAGCCGACTGCCCCAGGCCTGCTGCCCGAGCAGCGGCAGAGGCAGCAGCAGCAGCGGCAGCATTGCAACAAGCCCTATTTTCTCAAGCAACATCTCTTCCGTTAGCACTACCGCCTGCTCCTGGAAAAGCAACCCGCGGCCTTTTACCTCCTCCGTGCTAGTGTAGATCGCTCTAATATCCAAAGACTGGAAGAAATCTCTCTCTGAGGACAGATAAAAGCATTTCAGATCTGGGGAACGTCTTTGCCTGAATTTCTCTTATGGCAGATTGCATGGGCAGACAGATGGAAGGCACTTTGCTATTGCTTAAAGCAGGGCCTTGCTTTCTGGGGCTGGGAATCAGCTCTGTGTTAGGCAGTGAGTCTATGTGTGATTGCATTGACAGTTTGCTCTGGCGGTGTGTTTTTAATGGCTCTCACAGGTCAGGCATGTTTTGTATTTATGTACCATGGTGATAGGGTAGTGTTTGTTCTGTACGTTCAAAATGAATGCTCTAAGCAAGCCAACTTCATCCCAATTTTTATAAAATAACTCTCTATAGGGTGTGTGCCTTAGAATGAAGAACAGGTAAACACTGCAGCAATAGTTTCTCATGTAGTACACAACTCTACTGCAATAAATGTTGAGCCTTTGTCTATAGTTTCAAACATCAACTTTTATACAGAAGGTCAAAATATACTAGGCTCCCTTATGAAATTATGAAAAAAGAAATGGCACTTCAGTGAAGAAGACATCAGATACCTGCCTGTTAAGAGCAGAACCCTTTCCTCTTCCCCACCCCCACCTTTTTTGTATCTCGAGGGGGAATATTTTATTAATTAATTAGCCTCATACCTTTTCTTAGGACTTTTCAAAGTGTAAATATGACCACTTATGAGAGCTCTCTTCTTTTCTCTCCTTCATAATGAGTAATCTATGTCTAATGCATCTATAATATGTACAGTTCCAACAGATGCCCCTCAACAGAATATCTAAGGTGCAGTCCATATAAGATGTATATTCACAATGGGTAAGTTTGATGGACTGTTTCTCAAAATGACGAGTTATGTTTGGTGGTATTACTATTCTTTAAAATATATGCTACAATTGTATGTCATAAATCTCCATATTCATTTCACACATCACTAGTTTATCGCAATACTCTCATTTCTATAGGTTAACTATTTTCCCCAATCACTAAAATACTTTCAGAATTGAAATACACTTTTTCATTGATTCAGGAATTTATTCATTTAAGACATGAGTGGAATATGCTTACCAAATTACATACAGCATACATATGTAAATTCTATAGAAATGACTGACAAGTAAAGAAAATCAGAATTGCTAAGAAAAGCCCCCAATCAAGAGTACAAACAACAACATTCTACCAATTAAAGATATGATTTAGTCACACAAATGCCAATTTTTCCCTAATTTTTGTATTAATTTACTTTTTGGTGAGCATTCTTGTCCTGATTATTGAAAAAAATACTACACTGTGAAAATCACTTATCTATTTTTCTTATCAAATTCTGGTCCAGGAAGTACAATAAGAAATGGCTGCATTGTGAGATTATATATATATATATATATATATATATATATATATATCAAACTACAAACTAATTCAGAGAAATATACTCCTATAGAGTTACTGTTTCTTCTTGAACTAAGAGGTCACAACATAAACTACTGGATAAAAATTGAACATATCACTGAGGTATGTGTTCATGTCACTTCTGACATTATGTAAAATCCTAATGAGCTTTGCTGCCTTGGAAGATTGAAATTATTTTGGCCTTGCTTTCCAAGACCTAGAAACAGAATCATTAGTGAATTGGCATGTACTACATAGAACAAGCATACAATTAGATGAATTCAATTCCTTAAGTAAAAACCCCAGGAAATGCCAGTTATTTTTAGAATATCTTTTTGCTCTATATATGTCTTGGAAGGATGTTGGTGAAAATAAAGAGATCTGATGCATAAATGCATGTATGTCTGTGTATATCACCCCCATATTTGTGTGAATTTGCAAATTAATGTTGCTATATTTCCACATTTAACAATTAAATGCATTTTAGAACCCAATTAACTATCATGAAAACCAAGACACTAAACATTTGAGATGCTTCTACAATTAGAAGCTACAAAAGATACTGTCTTAAAATAGCATCTTTTAAGGCAATACCACATAGTAATATCAAACGACTCTAGGACTGGCCTCCATGACTCATACATGTAACATAGATTCATTATGAGAGCCCGAAAAGTGAAAATAGTCAACATAATGATTATGGCCAGTCTGTTCATTAACCAAACAGCCAATTAAATATTTTACCTCAACCATCATCTTTCAAAGTATGAAAACATAAAAGATATATAGCAAGATTTAACACTGAGTACCTTATCATTTTGATAATTGCCAAGGTTCGTATCATAGTTTATCATACACATTTCAAGGACATATTGAAATGTATATGAGACAAGTTGAAACAACTGTGCTCTAAAGATTCCTAGCAATGTCTACCATACATTGTTAGGAGCAGTTATTAACACTTACATGTTCTTATTCCAGATATGTTTGCTTTTCCAAAAGCTATTTAGCTGAGCTACAGAATACCCATTTTGAAATCTGCATATTGAAGAATATACTGAATTCAAATGGCTTGCATGCTCCTTCTCTAATAAATTCCCATTAATGGCCAGTAGATTAGGACGTGATTGTCATGCTTGCTTTCTAATCGTTTTACAGGTCTCCAGATGGCTGAAACATGAATGGAAACATCCTGGTTTTCTTTGGAATAAACAATCTCTGCTTAAGTTAAAAGCGAAAATTTATGATTTTCCACATATTTGGATCAGAACTATGCTATTCCGTAAATGAAAATTCATCAGGTTTGGAACTAATATTTAGAACACCTCTATGAATCCTATTCAGATTACTGCAGAATATATGAAGAATTGGCCTATCACCAAAATCCTTTTTAATATTGAGTTTGTATGATTCTCATGCATATAAAACACAGTCTACTAATATAGTCAAGACTACCATTTTCTGCATAAAAGCCATTTAATTTACAGTGATTTGTATAGTTCAGGCAAGGTACTTGACTGGCTTGCTTTCTAATAAAAGTATCCTATTATTTCTTCTGTGTCCCAAATTCCTTTTTTATAGGAAGTTACAGGTTATATTTACATTATCTTTGATATGTAATATACAAAGGCTGGGGGGGGGGTGGAGACAATTGCATATATGGAAACTTGAATTTTTCTGGAATTGTATCTATTGCATGAACTGGGAGATATGCAATACACTGCAGGCTTGCTACCCAGTAAATAATATTTTATACATCACTTTAATTTTGTCAAATGTAAATTTTAAAATTACCTTTGGTTGGTGGGATGTCTATTCATTTTATACTTCTTTGTAGAGTCATCTGAAAAACAGTCAAGAAAACAAATTATCATAGTTTTAATATATACATAAGCATGTCTAAATTTGGCTTCATTTAAAGTACTGCAATTACAATGATTCCTTAAAATGACAAGAGATTCCAGAAAACCCCAATACAATGTATGCTGGGCTTCAGCACCTACAGAGTTAAATATGCTAATTTGCATTTAAATGGAGACATGCATGATAATGGGAATGCAAAATATGCAGAATCTGGAGGTGTTTGAAAATTAATTTTTTCTTTCTTCTTTTATTTTATTTTTAGCTTGGAGGGAAGAGGGACTCTCAAAAAATACTAGGGATTTGAACACTGTAATCTGCCATACAAAAGAGGAGGGAGAGTTCTTCCATGCAAGAATATTAAGACTGGAACAAAGTCGTATTTTCTAAATGTTTAAGGAACTAAATTTCCAAACCTTTCAAACAATGGGAATCCCTGGATAAATATCCAATCCATTAGAAAGATGCAAATAGTTTACTGTAAGGCAACAGCACGGTGAGATGTGCATTCATATCTATGGCTCCTGATTGGCTATTTCCTCCACTAAATCAATGAATAATGTAAAACCTGATTGCTGTAAAGTGGTGGATTTCCTTATTCCCTTCCCCCATCCCCCATGTCTCAATATATTCAAGAAGTCTTACACTCCTGGAAATAGCTTGCTTTTCTCTTATGATTTTTAAATGCTTATTGTTATTTTGGAGTGGCGGGGTGGGGCTATTGGTTTTGCAAAATGAAAGTACTGCACTGGTTCAATAATCCTGACTATGGGGGCTTCTTTCCCGAGACAGCGCCCTGATGACTGGCACCCAGGTGCAGAAGGAGGGTGGCGGGCAGAGGTGGGCATGAGGAGAGGGAGGAAACCAGAGCCGACCCCACTGTTGTGGGCCCAAGCCCGCCACTGGTCCCACAGAGCCCCCCGCAGTGGCCGTGACTTGACAGGCCTCCGGTCTAACTTCGGATCCATCTCACTGCTGCCCTGACCCCTCGAGACAGTCGTCCATGCCAGCACTGCGGACACCTTTGCAAGAGAAAACGCCACCGTCTCCAAAGCAAATGCATCGCCTGGGTTCCCACTGCCCCGGGTTCCTTCAGATAAATCCAGGCCCCGGAAGGAAGGTCTTGCCTCTCTCCGCGGAGTCTGGATTCCACGCAAACCGCAAAACCCAGGTTCCGCTGGCATTCCAAGCCCCAGTCACACCGTGATGGTTGCATCTTGATGCATCTTAACTTGGGATGACCCTGTAAAGCGGCTTCTTGCCTCCCAGAATCCAAAACGCAAAGAAGGAAGTAGAAACACACCAGGACTAGTTAGCTACTGTGTATAAGTTTCCACCAAAATCCAATCAAACCCTCTCCTCGTTGCCAGGTAATTGCAACTTTGAGGGGGTTAAAATAATTATTCCGAGTGCGAATCCTGCTGAATCCAGGAACGCAAAATATAACCGTATGTGGCTCTAGGGTTAAGAGGGAAAAGTCCCACCTCCACCAACACAAAATTACATACAAAATTCCCTTTTCCAGCACGAAACGCTCCTGGTTTCTCTCTGCAAAAGGCGGTCAGGCTGCTGGATAATTAACAGTCCTGACTTAGACAACTCATGAAATCAACAGGTTTAGTATCTGAGACACACAATCATTAGCTGAAGCAAACCAGGGCGCGACCCGGAGCAGGATTGTGCAGGCACCGGCTCGCGGAGAGGAGACCGGGCGCGGGGCCGCGGCGGGCAGCGACGGGCCCCCGCGCCGGCTGAGCGGCCGCCTGCGGGCCGCCGGGATACTCACTTGCTCTCCCCGCGCTGGGCACTGCTGCCCCCCAGTCCCGCTGGGCAGGAACCGAAGCGCGGGCCAGAAGACAAGATCCAGTCACAGAGCGGCCGCAGTACACAAACAGGCTCTTTTCCGCATCTCAAAAGAAAAAAAAAAGAAAAAAAATTCAGGTCACCCCTCTCCTTAGCACGTTTAAAACTGCCGCTCAATTCCACATGGTGATTCTTGCTTGATTGGGTCTAAAATAGTTTAAACGGACCTTCCCTTCTGGGGGGGTGGGGGGGGGGGTGGAGAGAAGGGCGAAAAAGACGAAGGAAGAAAAAAAGCCAACTCTCTCCCCCCCCCGCCCCCCTCCCCCCCAGAGCCAGGCACTTGCTCCCTGAGCCTCGGAGTGGAGAGTGAAGTGGTGTGTGCGAGGCTCGGCAAGTTTTTGGGGGGGCCGTCCAAGGTCTAGTCCAGCCCCCTCTGCCGAGGAGGACGTGCTCTGAAACTCAACCGATTTCCCCACTGCTTTTGTTACTGATGAACTGAAGCCCTATTGTTCATCCATTGCCACGGTCTTTTTCAGTCCCCACACTACGTCCTGCGTTGCCAGAGATAATGAATTTGCACCCAAACCTCTCACAGTCCCCTCCTGACAGACGGAACAAATTAGAACTGTCTCGTCTGAAGGAGGGCAATGGCTACATTTTCCTATTGTAGAACGCAAAGCACTCATTTCTTTGGAAACTTCTTTCGCCTTTTCTACCTTTTATTTTCTTCTCCCTCTTTTTCTTTTTTCCTCCAGTTTTTCTCTCTTGATTCCTTTAGTCTCTCTCTCTCTCTCTCTCTCTCTCTCTCTCTCTCTCTCTCTCTCTCTCTCTCTCTCTCTCTCCCTTTCTCTCTCTTTCTCTCCCTCTCTCTCTCTCAATAGCCCTGTCTTGTTTTTCCAATGCACCATTTTGTGAAACTTGTGGATCTTTTCTACCTTCCTTCCTTCCTTCTTTCCTCTATTTCTTTTTAAAGGTCTCCTTTTGGTATTTTATTTACAAACTTGGAGAATGACCTTTTGACTTGAAGACTTTTTTTTTTAAGAAAGGTCTTTTGGTTCAAGTCCCCTTACTCACGCCTCCCCTTCTTTTTGTTGTGGTCATTAAATGTGTTTTGCTAATGGCAAGCAATACATTATAAGGATTTTTTACTCTTTAAACTCCGGAGCTATTCAAAAGGTACCGGGGGGCGCGCCATGGGGGATTATCTATTTGAGAGGTTAGAAAGAGCGTGTGTGTGTGTGTGTGTGTGTGTGTGTGTGTGTGTGTGTGTGTGTGTTGCAGGGACAGAGGCAGAGAGCTGCGGGAGGGTGTGAGTGGGGTGTGCAGGGGGAGAAGGGTGAGGATCTTGCGGGGAAGGTGGGCTTCCTGGAACACGGTCGGGAGGACTGTGCGGGGCGTTAGCGCGAGAAGGAGGGTGCAGGAATCCCTCTTGCCGCGGGCGGCTCGCACCCCGGGGCCTGTCTGAGCGCCGGGCCAGCCGCGGCCGGGGCACCGGGGTGTGCGCGCGCGGGCTCCAGCTCCGAACCTGCGCGCGTGCGGCCGCCGGCGGAAGGGGGGCTGCAAAAATTCAGGCAACTGGCCCGTATGTAAATGATGCCTACGGCGGGGGCGGGGGGGGGGCTGGGCTGCAGTAATAGGAGTCTGGCGGCCCCCAGCTTTCCCGCCAAGTGCAGCCGGAGGACACAGAGCCAGGCGTGTCCTTGGCGGGAGGGCCCCCGCCCGCCGCCCGCCGCCCGCCTCCCACCCCGCGCACCCGCACGCGCTCCCCTCGCCGGCGTGGGGCTCAGTGGCCACGAGCGTGGCAGGAAAACAAAGCTCTGGCTGCGAGGTGGAACCAAGACGCGGCAGCCTTGGCGGCCGAGGGCAGGACTGGGAGGAACCGAGACCGCGGCCTCCGGCGCCCCTTCCCTGCCAGCCGTGGCCTTGCCCTCCATCCCCGGCTCGGCCCGGCCCCGGCCCCGAGGAGGCCGAGGAGCCGTGTTCGCGGCCCGGGAGAGGGTGGGAGCAGCGGCGGAAGCAGATGAGCGCGGAGACTGGCCGCAGCCCCCGCCTCGCGCGGACCCGCACAGGCCGGCGAGCGGGGCCGAGGCGGAGCCGGGGTGGGGGTGGGGGTCTGAAGGCCTCCCCGCTGCGGAACCCGAGCCGCTACCTCCTCGCCGAGGCTGCAGAGCGCCCGGCGGAACACGCACCGGCTAAACCCGGCGGGCGGCGCCCGGGGCTGCGGCCACGGAAGGGCTCGCACCTCCAGACCCCGCCCCAGACACTGTCCTCGGGAGGGCCTAGCGGCTCCAGAGAGCCTCCTCTGACCGCCACCGCCCCTGTCAAACGGGGGGACCGATCGCCAGCCACGGAGCTCTGTCCGGCCTGCGTGTCCTGCAGATAAGTCCCCGAGGCGGCCGTGCAGAGGCACCGATCGCTCCCATCTGCTCGCAGCGCCACACACGCACACGCGCGCCCACACTCACTCACACACACACACACACACACACACACCACAGACACACTCACAGACAGACACACGCACACACGACATCCCCACCTCATTAAAACGCACGCCAACCGCGTGGCTGTTAATGAAGCCAACGCGCTTCCTGATTGAACAGGTAAACAGGTACCGAAACGAGCAGCCCCCCACCGGTCGCCGGGGCCATTTACCTCTCCCTACTGGACACACGTGTAGCTTATCGTGTTTTAGGAATGATTTGCTGTTGTCTGAGGTTTCTCCCTCCTCTTCTTGTGGAAAAAAGCAAAAAAATAAAAAAAAAATCATGTTCCATCCTCAGTCTTCTTTCTGATAAGCTACCCGAGCACTGGTCTAAAACATGTTGGGGTTCGATTTGGTTTGTGGTTTGGGGCATGTTGTTTTTCGGAGGGAAGCAAAAGGACACGTATTTGGCGGGGCTGGAGGTGCAGGACAAGAGCCCGCGTGTGCGGCCGCAGGGCTGGCGGGGCTGGAGGCCGGAGGTGGAGGAAGAAGGCGGAGGCCTGTCCTCCCCCGGGGTTGGCACGGACCCCCTCGGTCCCCTCGGGCCTGGGCTCGGCTAGCGCCGCTGCCAACGCCCGCACGAGCGGGTTCCATCGGCTGCCGCTCCGTGTTTTCCCCCATCCCGGCTTCACGTTCAAGGTTTAGCTGCGAGGTCACGTCCATTGACGTCAGCTCCCCGTCTCCCTCTACGTCCGGCTACATTTACATACATCAAGGAAATTAGGGCATTAAAAAAATATGCAAATCCTGCGCGAAGAGGAGCCGGTGCATTCCTGGCGCGATCGCCTTTTATTGAAGCTTTTAATTAAAGGGACCAGTTGGCGAGCCCATGAAACAACCGCCAAAACCCCCAAAAGAGAAAAATAAATGCTGTAGCCTTCGGGAACGGTTGTTTCGGTTCCTGTTCTGTGGGCGGCTGAGGACCGCCGGCTGCCCGGCTCGGAGAAGAACAGGTTAGAGGAGGCAGCTCCAGCCCATGCATAATCAGGGCTCCGCGGCGCCTCCATTCTTTCCTCCTCCTCCTCCTCCTCCTCCTCCTCCTCCTCCTCCTCCTCCTCCTCCTCCTCCTCCTCCTTCCCTCCTCCTCCACCTCTATTCCCCCACCTCCTCCTCCTGCTCCTGTTGGTTCCAGCGTGTATTATTTTTAATACTGATGCATATGTAAAGATATATTTGCATTTTTTAATGGGGGGGGGGAGTTCAGATTGTATCGTTTTACTCATTCTACCCCCTCCTGTTTTGCTATCTTATTATGTCTATCTATTTCTCTTGTTCCTTTCCGTCTATTTTTTGGCGAGTGTATGCTGCTGTCTCTTGCTAGATAAATATGCACAGTTGCCTCCCTGCTTCTGTTTATTTAAGGCTCCAAATATGCACATCTGTCATGTATGTAATGCCAGCTGTACAACCTCCTGGTTTGGTCACAAAAGAAAAGACACTTTTTTTTTTTTCCTTTCCTGACCTACCTCCTTGATGGACTGTAATGTAATGTCCATTGCTCAGGGCTCAAAGTTTGATTGTCTAATTAACTTCATATTAACCATAACACAGTTTGGGCCAGTGCATTTGAAATAATGTATGTATAAAGGGAAGTGGCTCCCAAGATTTCTAAAGAATTTTTGTGCTGATTTACTGAAAAGTGCTGCCTTCACTACTGCCCTATTGCTTTCTAGCATTTCTTATTGCAGAACAAAAAAATCTACTTTAAAATGTGTAGACATGGCAATGGACAGCCTTTTGCAAGGAAGACATTTTCAACCATGTTGTATGTTGTACCTTATCTGCTGCATTCAAAATTTACTGAGTTTCATTTTATCTTAGTATGTCTGGGAACAAGGCACATTACCTTGATTGCAAAGTGTCCTTAATTCCTGACTGTGAAATGAAAACAAATAAAACAGTTGGCTATCTTAAGCCAATTGATCTGCCCTAAAATATACAGGCCTTCAGTTAGATTTCAAGCAATGGTAATCTTGTTTATAGAGTAGGATTTCCTTCCTGGTGATATGTCAGTTCAGCACAATGGCTTTTGAAAAATATATATGTGCAAATCCACTTTTAAAATTCCCCCCAACCTATTATTTTTTAAAATACTGAATCCACAAAGAACAGCAAATACACACTCATGCATCTTATTCAATTAAACAAATCCAAGTACATGCACAGGTAATTGGTTTTCTTATGAATGACTTACCTGCACAGACACTCAGGACAAGAGTCAGCCCTCCCCCATGGCTTTCATGTATAAATATTCACACGTATTTCCCCATTTTAAATCTACAGCTGCATATCATCTTTCATGCTGGACTATCCAGCATCCATTTTTAACATCCTTAATTCTCATGGTATTTGCAGCCTTACCTCTGGCTGTAGTTTTTCCAAGCTTACACCAAAGTGCTCATATGGTATGTCACCCAATAAGAAGTGGTCAGATGGCTGCACGTAAAACATTAAAAAACGGAGACATACTCATCCTTGAGGTTTGCTCCTACCTTGCCATTTATAGCAAGATTATCTTTTCTAAAAGAACATTTTCAGCACATCTTATGAATAGTTGCAGATCCCACAACTGGTTGCAGAATTGCCCGTTTCTGGGGGTCACCTGCCTGAGTGAAACAATT